AAAAAAAAAACAGATTAGCTCCAGGTATGTTTTCAGGGTCTTCCTAGAATACAGGTGATTGGTGAGAGCTAATCTGCAATGCTATTTAGATTGTCAAGACTTTTGGGTAGGAACTGTGCCTTTTCGAATTGCCTGTAAAGCTCCAAGCATGCTTTGGGTGCTAGGTAGCTAAAAAATGATCAAACAAGAACAATAATAGGTCAGAAAACTCTTTGTGATGCCTACCCACCCGTTAGCAATTTTCCAAAGTTACGTGTCTTTTCAACCGACAATACTGCTAATAATCAGCTGCAATGTCCTCCGCCCTGTCTGAGATGCAAAATGAAGAAGTCCCTTGCCTGGAAGGGCTTCCAGTCTAGCACCGAGAAGTGGTCACCTGCTTTACCGTCACCGATATGTTGTTTTTCTAACAGAGATCTTTTTTTGCTTCATATTGAATGAGTGTGGAACAAACCTGAGACTGGTCCAGGTCAAAACACACCTGTGGCCACAACAAATCTCACCGACCCCTTTTCTAGGTTGGGTGGGCCCCTGAGGTCAGAGATTCACCCCTCTCTGGAGGACACAGCCAGGTCAGGTCTGCAGCCCTGCACATTAAGTACCAGTGCCCTCCTCTGCCTTTTCCGCTAGGGCTATGGGCAGGTTGCAACAGGGAGTTGCAGGGGCCTGTGTTGGAGAGGGGATGCTTTCAATGCCAGTTTGAGGGTCGAGGTTCAGACTCGTTGTGAGACATCTCGTTTGGTACCACACTTAAGAATCATCTAGGAATTCATGATTCCTTTATGTGAGTTCCCACCTGTAGGGTTTGCTTTAAGTCTGCTGAACACCCCACGGGACAGGCGCTTTGAGAGAAGATGCTAGCTAGTTATGTCTGCGCATCCCATAAGAGTAGACAATGGGCTACAAAACCCCCTCCCCGGCGTGTGCTAGCTGTAGGAGAACCCCTGGGAGTAAGGGAAGGAGGTGGAGCCTTTGGGCACAGACCAGACTTCCCAGTAGCTTTAACCCTTCTTGAAATCTGACCACAGGACTCTCCCCTAGAGAGGGAGAGAAGGAAATGCAGAAAAAGAAAGGAGGGAAACAGACAGAGACTCCAGCCTCCGGGGGCTGCTGCGGTCTAGTTCTGACCGTACCTGGACGGCTTCCAAAGGGCCTGACTGCAAGGCAATTTTTCCATGACTCTCTAACACCCTCCCCCACACAGAGAGAGATCTTTTCACTTAGGGCTGCACTCCAAGACCAGCCTTGCAGGGAAAACAACCTGATAACTCGCATGCCATGATGGGTATAGTGGTGTTCTCCCCCTCACAGCAGGGCCAGCCATTGGCACCCGAGGCCCTTGGGTTTGCAGTTCCTGTCCCAGAGGACCCTCGATGGAAGGGGAACGTACTGGGGGCCCTTTACCACATCTTTGTACTGATGTTTGCAGAGAGGCCCACATGACTTGGGCCAAATCTGCCTCTCATTAGTCACAACCTAGATAGAGGCTGAGCCCGAAAGGCTTTTTCTCTTCCCTTCTGCCCAGAGATGCTGAGAGAGCTCTCCTTGGGGCCCATTCCTGGCTTGGCTGAGGGAGGGGTTATTACAGCGACAGGAGCTTTCCCCTCTGGGCTGGATCTGAGCGCCAGCCACTCGCCACAGAGCTGAAAAAGAGAGGCTGCACCTTCTCCGCCCCAGCACCTCCCCAGGATGTGAACACGGCTGCACGTTAACTGCTAGTAGGCAAATGCATATAAAGCCCTTCAGGACCAAATCTCCAGGAACTGTGATTTCCCAAGCCCTCGATTCCACCCCCTCTTGGGCCATACATCTCTCCCCCTTCCCTTCTCCAGGTCACCTTCCCCGCTGCCAGCCTGGTGGTGCATCCCAGAATGACATCCATTAGGAACTCGCAGCACGCGTGGTCAGCTCCCACGTGGATGTGCATGGTGTAAATGCAGAGGGGACGGTCTATGCCAGTCTTTACCAGTAAGGCTTCTGGGTTTGGCTGGCGTTTGTGGGTACAAATCAGCTCCCACCTAGCACCCGAAACCCAGTGTATACAATAAATGCAAAGCAACCGAGTAAAGAGCGTGAGGTGCCAAGACAACACCTACCGGAGAAATTCCGGGTTGCCAGCATCGTAGTGAGAATCGCTCCCTGAAATACACAAAAGGCAGAAAGGAAAGAGAGACCGCTGTGCTCAGGGTCAGGCCCATCTGTTTGTCCTTCTATTCAAAGGTATCCGGTGGAAAACAGAACCAGCTGGAGCTAGTGGGAGGTTGCACAGGGGCATGAACGTAATCCAGAGAGGATATTAACAGACACAGAAAACAGTCTGTAGAAACAGGTCCTGGGTAGGAGCCCTGCAATCCGAGTCTTTGGGTGGTAATGGGAGGGACGGGATGATTTGCAACCTTCTTGTGAAGGCAACCTAGAGCTCTCCCCTGGGGCTTTTTATGGGCCATGCAGTGGCATCATTTCTCTGGCCCTGTGTTCCAAAGGCACCGGGACCAGACCAGCAGAGAGATTTCCATTGGGAGTTTCTGGGACGTTTCCTTATCTTGAGATTCCTCTGAGAAATCCGCCCCACATCACCTGCCCTTCTGAGATTCTGGCAGAGTGAAAATGGCCAAAACGCCAGGACTCTGCTCACTCCAGTCACACACACTTTTACTTCTCAATAACAGTTTATTCTCCTGTACTTGCCTCCCTAACCACAGTCCCGGGGCTGGCTACTAAACTGCCTATACCTGTGAGATTAAAAGAAGCATCAGACATGCAGGGCCGTACTCGGATTTCAGTTTAGTCTGTGTAAATTGTAACAAGTGGAATTACTCCAGATTTAAATGGGTGTAATGGAGGTCAGAATCAGGTCCAATGCTATTAAAGTAACTTCTTATACTAATTACAGCTGGGGGAGAAATTTCAATCAAAGCTAAATTTGACCAAAAACAGAAAAAAAGGTACTGCAGAAATGTTTTCCGTTTTCCAGTCAACTCTACTAACTAGTCAGGTCGCATATAATGAGATTTGAGTAATTGGTTACAGTAACGGATTACTACTTAGAAGTGTAGACCTGAACTAATCTGATTACTTGCTGAGATGAATAGTAAACATAGATTATTGCCAGTTTCTTTTCTTGCCAATCTTGTTACTAGTCTGGAGCCACCTGCTTTGTGCTGCAAACCCATCAGCCCTCCCAGGCTAATGAAGGGCAGGGCTAGATCACTGCTTAGATTGGAGACCTCCATGAAACAGATGCCCGGCTTGACAAATCCCTGGCTGGGATGATTTAGTTGGGGTTGGTCCTGCTTTGAGCAGGGGGTTGGACTAGATGACCTCCTGAGGTCTCTTCCAACCCTGATATTCTATGAACAGTAATACGCTGCTGGAAGTAGTTGGTGTTAATGACTCCGTGTTCGGCACTCTTCTTCACAAGCCAGTATGGAATGAATACACAGCATGGTGCTGGGGGCACTGTGTTACTAGAGGTGTGGCCTTTTTGGATGAGATGGAAAAATCCAAGTTCTGACTCCTTCTGATCCCTCAAGATCCAATAGCACTTTTTGTCAGTGTATCGAGGCGTTAGCCCCAACTGCCGGGTGATGTCTCTACTCCAGCATTTTGCCTACCTATAATTCCCCCTACATTGTTAATTGGATACAACAGTCCTTCTTCCCCTCCGGCTCTAACCCGCTGTGGTGGTAGCACTGCCGTGCACCATTAAAAGTGCTGCCCCCTAGTGGCAGATGCAGACACCCTGGAGCACTATTTAGCTTTGGTATCCCTGCGGCTGAAAGGTGCTTTATAAATGTCTATCATCGTTCCTGTCCCGGGGGTAATACGGATTTCCCAACAGATGACTTCCTCAAAATAACTAGCAACCCTGGTCAGACGCAGCAGGTGGGGCAGGCGAACCACCTCCTCTTTTACATCGTTTTGTGCCTGGTTTCTAACGTCCCGCCCCTCAGCTCAGCCTCTCCTTTCCCTGGCCAGTCTGGCTCCCCTGAAATGCAAACTCACAGGATAACCCGGACTCCCACCCTGTGACACATCTTCTGTTCAGGAAAACAAACTCATCGGGCATTTCCCAACTGGTTCCCAAAGGTACCTGGGCGGCGGGGATGGGCCCTGCGAATTACCTTTAGCTTTCTTCTGGCGTTGAACTTCTTCAGGCAGTCCACTGTCTCTTGTCTGTGCATGCATGACGCCACGGTGGAGCGGTGCTAGAAGAGAGAAGGAGAGCCCGCTCAGTAGTGGAGGGGAGAAACCTGGAGACCCGAGGACCTGGGGAAGTGCACACATGTACACACACACACTGTTGCTCTCCCATGCTCACACACATGCACTCTGGCTCTCCTGGCTGAGGCATACGGCCATTGCTGTATGCAGCTGCGTGGGCCTCTCTGGGAGCAGCAGATAAAACTTTAATGGGTAGCGTGAGTTATCCACCCTCTTCGTTCATTTGTTCCTCGTTCTGCTGTGCAGTGGGCTGTAAATTATCTTGCAGAGAGCTTAGCTATGCCCTGGGCTGACTGATTTGTCTGGATGATTAACACTGCAGTTCCTTGCTGTGGAGGGATGTGATGAGGGGTTTCACGCATGGATTATACATGGCAGTGAGGCTAAGTTCAGGGACGATTTTTCACTTTGGTCGTTGATTAGACTTTTATGGGATGAAAGGTGTGTCGGGGAGTCTCAGGCTTTGGTACAATCTCTGCCATGGAAAGGAGCTCTGTTATGGCCCCTACCTGGGGGACTTTCCTGTTTCTAAGGCCTGGTCTACGCTACACAGTTAGGTCGACGTAAGGCAGCTTACGCTGACATAATTAGGTCAGCGTATGCACTGCAGCCTTGTCTGGCTGATGTAAGTGCCCTGCTACACCGACATAATAACCCCACCTCCACGAGAGGCGTAGGGCGTGTGTCAGTGTAGTCAGGGTGAGGCAGTGTCTGGGTAGACACTGCGTTACTTACATCGGCTGCTGGCTGCCTTGTCAGTTTCAGGGTTCCATGCTGGAGCTGTGAGATTGACAAGAAAGCCGCTACAGCCTGTCTGCCCCCACTCCTGGCGGGGACAGGGGAGGTGAGAAGCCCAGGCAGCTGTCCCCGGCTCCCGGCTGGGAGGTGAGAAGCCGGGAGACCGGGGGACAGCTGGGCTCCCAGCGAGGAGTTGCACAGAGCTGAGCACCCTGGCTCTCAGCCCCCCACACTACCCCTCTTCAGTTGGTGGAAGCACTCCTGGTGAGGACGCGCACCACTGACAGAAGGAGGGTAGTGTGGACATCAGCCACCAGTGGCTGTAAGTTGATCTAACATAGGTCAACTTACATCTGTGTGTAGACATGCCCTAACTGTTACAGCCCACACAATAGGGCCCTGTAGCCGGGAAGTAAGGGAGCACGTCGCAGATCTGAGGTGAAGCATTAAAGATCCAGAAGGCACTAGAGAAAGAGCATTTTTGCCACGTGAAGACAATATTATGACGGTCAGAAACCTAGCTGTAAACAGAAGACAGCAGAAGAGAGCGCAGGGCATGCTGGGCTTCGCATTTACACCTAAGCTGCAGCGGCGGGGAGGAAGAGGAGCAGCAGCAGCAGGAGGAGGAAGGCACGGCACAGCCAGCAGCAATGGCAGAGCACAGCTTAGAGATGACCTCTATGATCCAAGCGCTCAGGGAGCTGGGCAGCTAAGTCTGACACAGCCCCCCTCAAAGAGAGAAGGGATTCCCAGCATCCTCCTGCAAAGAGCAGCAGGGCTCCGGCTGCCTGAGGCTCCTGCAGGGGGGGTGGGGGGGGGTGATACATTAATGAATTAACAGCGTTTTTCTTGGTTTGGCTAAGATGGCACATTTCCTCCCATCACCAGGCTGTCTGGGCTCAAGCATTTAATGTGAGTTCATATTAATGCTTCACTTGCACTAAGGCTTAACGACACCTAAATGTCTCGTGCTGACTTAGAGAAATGCCTGTCGCTGTATCACAGGAGCGACACCTGGGAGGAGGATTTCATTACACAGCAGATAGACAGGCCACACACAAGGCGATGCCTATTCATCAATATGCAAAGTGAGGTGTCCCATCATTTGCATAAAACCTCCCGATTTCTGGACCTTCATCCTTAACAGAGATGTTCCTGCATCACAGAATAGACCACATCTCCCAGCTGCGTGCTAAGCTGCTCGTCCTTCCAGTGTCTGGCTAGCGTCCTGAGTAGCCCACCCTGTACGCCATGCTTACCGATATCCATGGATGCTTCAGAGCCTCTGCTGCCGTGATACGCTTGGATGGGTTGATCGTTAACATCTTGTTGATGAGGTCTTTTGCTTCAGGAGTGACGGTATCCCACTCGGGTGAAGGGAACTGCAAAGGCAAAGGGGCCGGACGTGAGAGTGCCAACAGCAGTGACGTCAGGGGCATTTCTGCTGCTGCCCAGCCCATCCAGATAAAGTTTGGCTCATTCCCGCACAGTCCTCTTCCGAGAGGATGAGCCTCTCATGCTGGGAGGATGTGGTGGGTTTTGGCCAAAGGGAGAGTGAATGGTTAATTCTGCCCGCTCAGGGAGTGAGATGCCTGAAGTAGGGGACAGTAGGAGAAAGTCTATCCTCTACTGGAGAGAATCAGACCCACTGTTGTTTTCCCCACTGTCTTGTCCCCCCTGTAGCCTGGAGTAGCAGCTTACCAAGAAAATATCAACCCTAACGCTGCTCTCTTGCATGGGAATTCTCCTTTGGCTCAGGTGGGATCTGAGCTTTAAGCTGATGAGCCCAGCAACAGCAGGCAGCTAGTGTTCGTTCTGTCCCCAACAGACATTTCAGGAGCAGCAACAGCTCCGAGAGGGACTCCAGAGGAAGATCTGTCCCAGCTGCCCTACAGCAACCGTAGTCTTTCGGTGTTGTGCTGTTTCCCCAGAGAAAACCAAACCGCACACCTTCCTCCACAAGGCCTTGAAATGGCTGTGTTTGTGATGGGTGGATGTGGTCTTCCCCATTGCCACTCACAAGCACAGACGGAATGGCGCAGTTGGTTTCCTTCAAGCCAGCAACTGGTCTCAGCTACTGGTCCTATTTCTATAAAGAGTCAAAAGCGATGACTTGGAGGCAAGATGGGGGCCGGAGGGAGGAGAAGAAGAGTGTGTGAGAGACGAGTGGGGAGGGGAGAAAAACGAAGCTACTTACATCATAGGCTCCGGCTTTGATCTGCTGGTAGAGTCGGTGTTGATCCTCATCCCAAAAGGGAGGATACCCAACCAACAGAATATAGAGAATGACTCCTGTACAAGAGAGGGATAGGAGCATATTATTATCAACCTCTATCAAGTGGAGGTGGGAGAGAGTTAGGAGAGTGTGTGGGCCCAAGTTCTGTGTTGGTCTAAATCAGGGAAAAGAAGTTAGAGATGAGGGTCGATTTTATTAAGTAGGGCTCTCTTGCCTACCCAATTTCAGGCTGACATTCACGTACACACAGCCATGATGCCCGTGCATGCAAATCACAGGTTAGATGCCATGCATGCGTGCAGCTCTCTGATCTGTGCACGCAGTCACAGCAACTGTGCACACAAACGTAGGCACACATTGCGCACGGGTCTCCTTGAAAACAGTTTGGCCTTAAGAGAAATCTGTTTCAGGCTGCGCCATGCGACATTCGGGAAACCCATACGGAGAGCAGAGCCTCTCCACGTGCCTGAGCTGTGAAATCAATTTGAAGGTGAAGCTTTTAATTAACTGGGTCACTGGTGCATTGTGTTCCAGATACGTGAGGCACTGGGTTTGGCCTCACATGCAACTGGCACGTCGCAGGGAGAGCGCTGGCATTTCACAACGTGCTGGCATTTTGGAGAAAACTGCCACCCCAGCGGCATTTTCAGAGTTGGTCTGCAAGGAAAGTGACTGCTGGAGAGCACCCTATTCCTGAGCAGTGGTCTCTCTCGTGACATGGGTGGAGTGGAAAGCCAATGTCACATGTTGTTAACACAGGGCCTCTCTAGCATCACTGGTGGTTTAACATTCAGAAGAACGTAGCTGTTCAAGACTTAAATTAAACATACAGTGATGCCGTCAGGTGCTAGGAGCGATGGCGCCTGGGCAGAGAAGATGTGGCTCACAGAATGGCAGGGGTACAGCCCTTCAGATATAGGCTGCCCTCGCGCCCGCGGCTTCAGAATGAGCATGCTGAAATATACACATCTCTGATATGCTGGTGGGTGTGGCACAGAATGCAGGAAATGAGAAGCTTGGCTGCTTCTTCCTTCTCCCAAATGTATCTGTCCTGCTTTCCTGGTTGCTAACCTCAGTCTGACTTACCACACGCCCAGAGGTCCACAGCTTTGCCATAGGGATCCTTCCGGAGCACTTCTGGAGAAAGGTACCCTGGTGTGCCTGCGAAACCTAACGAACCAAACATAGGCGCCGACTTCCTCAGTCCCCAGGGCGTGCTCGACACCCACTCCATCCCTTCCCCCAAACCCCCACCCCCGCCCCACCCTCACTTCGTCCCAGCCCCACCCCGACTCCATCCCTTCCTCCAAACTCCCACCTTGCCTCTTTCCGCCCCCACCCTGCCCCACCACTTCCACCAATTCCTGCCCCCACTCCTCCCCTTTACCCCCAGCGCTTCCTTCACGTCGCTGAACAGCTGATCTGCAGCGGGCAGGCGGCGCTGGGGGGGAGGGGCAGGCGCAGATCTGCGGGGCTGCTGAGCACACACTATTTTTTCCCCCAGGGGTGCTCCAGCCCCGGAGCACCCATGGAGTCGGCACCTATGGAACCAAACCCAGACAACACCCAGTCACGTCAGCACTCGCCAGAAGTACTGAGCTCCCAAGAGCCGACTGCGAGACAAACGTGTGACTCGTGTCTTCTGCCGCAATTAGTCCATTGAGAACGGCCGTAACAAAGATAATTGGCCATCCAGAGGGCCCACGCTCGCATGATCTGATTACAAGTCCTCAGAGTTCAGTGCCTGTTCATTCGGGGTTGTGAGTGCACTGGGTCAGATTCTGCTCTGGGTGTCAATCCAATGATTCAGCTGCATTGACGTGGGCGCAGTTACTCCAGATTGACACTGGTGTAACTGAGAAACAATCTGTCCTGTGGTTAGGAAGTCCTGGCCTATTAGCAGCTAATCAGATGGGTTAAGGAAGGATAGGAAAATGAGTCATGCGAGGCACAGAGCCAGCCTACTGAACCGGGTGCTGGCACAGCATTAGGAAAGAAGTCTTGGGTTTGCATCCTACACCTGCCTTCTGCCTTTGTATTCATCTCTACATTGGCAGGTTGGCTTATCAAGATGTATATGACACCCTCTCCTGGTGAACGTGGAGCCCACCCCTATTACTGAGGCCTCATTGGGTTTCAAGCATTGTCCAGAAGACCAGTTTTACACATCTTTTCCCCAATTGTCCTGGGAGATGGCAGTACACAGGGACTGCAACATGGTATAAGCCAATGGTGGACTGGGAGCACAGCGGAGGGGACACTGGCTGTGTATCCATCATGCAGTCATCCAACCCTTATAGTATCTCCATGACTCACGTTCTAGCTTTGCGCATCCATTCATTGAATCCCCATTCAGTTACTTGGCTTATATCTTGCCTGGGCGCCTCTGGGACGCAAGAGTGTATTTTCCCAATGGAAACAAATGGGTTATCCCAAATGCACCATAGGGTGGTTTCAGCCTTGAAGGCTGCCAAAACTGCTGCTTTGCAAGCGACTCGTCAAGATTCCACACCCTTCCCCATCCCTGCTGGCCCTTAGGAGCTCAGTGGAAATTTTTTAACCCTTTGGTTAGATTCAGGGATAAATATTCAAGGTACCCGCGCTGCTTGTGCCATTAATAAAACATTCCCGGACAGTGCGGGAGAGGGGAGCTGTTTCGCCACACATATAGAAACGGGAAATGCAAAACAATCCCTCCTCAATCCCCCGCCCGACCATTTCCACTCACCAAACCAAGCCTGCTGATCCGCTTCCACCTCAATGGCTAGGCCGAAGTCTGCCAGCTTGACCGCAGCTCCCTTCAGTTTGGATGCCAGCAGCAGGTTCTCCGGCTACAGGAGGAAGCGAGGGATAGAGAGCAAAAGAAAAAAACACCCTCCCGATACTGGATTCAAACAACGTGGGCACAAGCCGGACCCCTTTCCTAGGGCTCTCTGACCGGCTCTAGCCAGCAGAACTCCCAGTCCGGATTCTGGGTAGGGGACTGTCCCCCATCAGACGCTGGCTGGGAGACATTTAATTGAGAAGCCCAGGGGGTTGCTCTGTTATACTTCGACTGCCCTAGACACACTATTCCGCCCTACTCTGTGACATAGAAGGGAGCAGAACTGGAGGACCTGGAAGAAGGTGTAAGATAGAATAAGTGGGTGGCCTGCCACAATTACTTTCTGACAACCTCCTGTTCGTTGCTTTTCCTGCTACATTCCTCTCTTCCAGCCCCTGGGCCTGTGAGTTACGGGTACACTAGCTTGCATTGCCTTACACAGACTCAGAGGGCCAAATTCAGGGGTCATGTGTGCATGGGGAGGTTACGTTACCCAGTGGTAAGTGGATGTGAGTCTAAGGGAGTCTGAGGTCGTGGAACATTCAAGTCTGCGTGGCTGAAAGGAGGAGTGACGTAGACCAGCTTAGGCTCCCTCGGACTCCTTGCTGAATTTGGCCCCTCGCTTCTTCAGGGAAGGGAAAACAATCATATGTGTTACAGATCAGAGGTTCCCTCACGACAGCTCGCCCTGATCTCTTTTTCTCACGTAGAAACAAGAGGTGTCATGGCCAGGAAAGCCCTCAGTGCTTATGCCCTTATTAATAGGCAGCTGTTCAGGCTCCATCACTCCCTACGTTAGGGCTGATGAAGACACATGAATCCGGTTTCCACCTCCGCGGAGGCGCCCGACTCCGGGCTCCCATTCAGTGGCAATGTTATTACAGCTATTAGAGAGAGTGATAGTCTAGTTCTGCTCTTTCAACTGCATTAGCCGGCCTGGAATCAGGGCAGCTGGCTCAATAATCCCCAGACAAACGGTGGGCGAACAAACTGATGACAGCACCAATTGGTTCCCAGGTATTACCAGAGTTATTGGCCTCTTTGTAGGGCGAGACGACACTAGCTCAGACTTGGAAGTCGCGCTCGTCCTGCATTTGGGCCTGAATTAGGGAAGCGTTTTGAGAGGAAGAGGTGGGATGAGCTTCCCTTTACAGGAGAGGCTGCTGGGCTGATCTGAGAAGCGCTCTCTCCAGTAAGAGAACATTATAGACTAGCTTGTATTAAGCCAGAGCCTTAAAACCCCTGGCCTGCAGGAAGGGAGTGTCTCTGCTGCAGGAGCTCAGTGTTACTGAATTGAATTCCCTCTGTGGGACAGCTGAGGTTTTCAGGCTCCAAGACTATACCGGGATAATCAAGCCCTAGAGAACTTCCTGTTCCAGATGATATGAGAGCATGGGTCATTTTTCTCCCCGCCACTGGAGGACGGATTTGAGGAGGCCCAGGTGGGGACCTGAAGCCTCACAGTCACTTACCAATTTTCCAGCCACAGGGGACTGAATAGGTCTCCACTGAGCCCCCACCAATGGCCACCATGAAGCACTCCCTCCAAACCTACCCATGTCTTCCTCTGGGGCTAACTTCGCTCCCTCCAGAGCAGGAGAAAGGCATTTTTAAGCAGACCAGCTGCATCCTTCTGGAAGGAAAAGTTGGCCTGACAAGGGACCTTGAGCTAGGATCGCCTCATTGTTCCCTTCACCCTTGGCTTTCGGTAGCTCCCAAAAGGAATTCTTCTCGCAGTGTTACAGGTGCGCCAGACCTCCCCAGAGAAAGTTACAGGACAAGGCTTCTAGGGCCTTCTCTCTCTTTCTGATGTTGTTATATCCTGGAAGCACTGGCCGTTCCATGTATACATGTAGGGACCTTCGCCACAGCTCTTACCTTTAGGTCCCGGTGCACCACGCCCATCTGGTGGCAATGCAGAACAGCTTCCAGGATCTGCTGAATGCAGTGACTGCAGAGAGAAATCATACAAGTCACATCTGTGCTCTGGGAGAGCAGCAGAGATAGGGCTTCCTTAGGCGTGTCCCTTCATTTTTATCTCTTTTCCTCACTTCCCACACCCCCCATTCCTTTTCCCACTAGCAACCATACAGCATGGCTCAGAATCTCGCTCTACAGAGTCCCATGTAGGTGCTGCATGGAGGAAGGTAGAACTATCAAAACCTGAGTGCCAATGAAATCCCCAGTTGGGGGTCACTGAATCATTCAGCCAGACTTAGTGAACAATAGAAAAGGAGCGCACAGGTTACCGTAGGAACTCTCCTGGTTGTCAGAAGTAATGAGCTAAAACAATCCAAACAATTCCCATAGAAACAATGTGAGCGGCTGCATGGAGAACTTGATAACAGGAGTTGGTGAAATCAGGATGCCCGCCTGAGTTTGTGCGATAACATCAAGCAGAGCGGAAAAGCTCGTAAGACGTAAAGCTTATGGTAACTCCAGCCCCATTTCCCTAGTCCTGACGTATGCTTGTAGGTCTCATCGGATCTGTTTGTTATTTATAGCTCATTAAATCACGCACACTCTGTTGTATGCATGAGAAAGAAAGAAAAAGAAGTTCCAGGTGCCAAGAGGGGATGATAACTTTGATCACAAAGCATTTGTCTGCAAAACAAAAGGTCTTGATTTACATTTTTGCAGGGTTCTAATAGGTGGATTGGTTCTAAACGTATTCAGTGCACGCAGAACACTCAGTAAAAACCTCATTCCAAACAAGGAAGCCTTGAATCGGAAGTTTACTGCGTGGCTATGTTTACCCGAAGCTCAGTATTATTCCCAGTGTTTGGGATGGCTTAGTCCATAAAGACACTGGTGAAGGGAGGAAGGATTGTTTGGTGGTTGAGGGCACTGGAGACATGGGTTCTATTCAAAGCTCTACCACAGACTTCTTGCGGGGCCTTGAGCAAGTCACCTCATCTTTCCACGCCTGAGTAAAATGAAGCTAATGCTTCCCTTCCCCCCAGGGCTGTGCTGAGGCTTAATTCATTAATATTTGCAAGGTGCTCCGATACGCCAGTGATGAATGCCATAGATACGCCTTTAAATACATAAAAATAACTATTGCAACTGGTAAATGTCAAGAATGTGATCATCTCCACCATATCTTCCTAGGACTCCACAAGGTACTGGCCCCCATATCTCCTGGCTGGGATGCCAGGATGCTCCTGGCCTCGCCTATCCCACACATTGGTGACTGAGGAGCGGGGGAGACCAGCTGCTACCAGCCAGGCAGGCAGGTCGGACACTAACTGCATTATCAATCTGGGGCAAGGGGGGTGCCTGTCTGTATTCACTTAAAGCAGCTGGCTTTGACTTTGGAGAATCGGCAGTGTGGTTACGCACAGAATCCTTGGCATGGAAAATGTGCTGGCTAGAATAAGCCACTTGCAGTGTGACATCGCGTGGAGAAGCAAGAGCAGCAGATCTTGGAGCGCCGCTATAAAATCAATATACAATGTGGAGGAAACTGATGCGCTGATACTGTAAATAAAATAAATACATGAGTCCTTGGCTGAGGACAGACTTCAAGCTATTGGTGAAGGCTGGGCATCTCGTCCCTTCCCTTGCCTGGCTGGGTCCAGCTGCCAAGCCTTGCAGGATCATATCTGGTATGTTTCCGTCCTCACCTGGCATCTGCTTCACTGTAGTATTCTCTGGCCACAATGTCCTCGAACAGCTCCCCACCCGTGACACTGTGAATGAAACAGACAAAGCATAATGTCAGCTCGGGAAGCTCTACATGCAAGAGCTGCGCGGATTTATACCAGCTGGCAATCTGACCCACGGAACGAATCAAAACACAACTGGACAAGCAGCTCAGCAGAGATTGAGCAGGTACAACAGGGGCGAGTATGTTTGGGGGTGAAGGGGTGTGTGGAACTGGTAGGTGACAGGGCTTGGGCACCTGGTAATTTTTTTCCCAGGCAACAAGAGAACTGAATTCCCATTTTAACCCACTCCCCAAGTGTGGCTCCTAGGTTCAGGAACCGGTGTGCTGATATGTTTGAGCTTGGAGGGTCTGGGGAGAGAAAGATGGAGGAATGGCTGCTGCTAATTCATTTCTCCCAGCTGATCGGTGCTTCTTTCCCACCTACTGGGGGAGCAGCTTCCAAGAAATGGATCCTGTGGCTGGAGGAGAGCATGCTGGGAAATTTAATGAGTTACATGCCACCAAAAGTACTAGACTCATCTAACCCATGTGCATCTGCTGTGCGGCTGTACATAGCAGGAAGTTCCAGCGATTTCAGCATAACCCCACTTTAACCTGGCAGCACATTCCATCCGTGATGGGCTAAAGCCGGGTTCCCAAAGACCAGGGGTCTCTTTGCCTGATGTTACTTCCTTTCAAACCATCTGCAGGGGTGGGAGGGTGGTTCATTTCCCATTTCAACGCAGTTCTCAGCCAGGCACCTGGAACGGTCAGGGTCAGTGAGAGTCCAGCAGTCTGGCAGTGCTGAACAGAGCTCACCAGATCCTTTCTCAGAGGAGGCCACTGAGCGGTCATGAGATGGGCTGTATCTGATCAAGTGATCTGGAGTGGGACGGGGCTGGCCCCTGAGCCATCCTGTCACCCACCCCAGAAGGATCAGAGAGTGAAGGGGGTCTTTGGGAAAAGGTCAGATCAGAGGATCACAATGGTCCCACCTGGCCCTAAAATCTGCACACTCACACATGCTTCTGGACAGGCCTGGATCTTTATGCCCTTCCAACTCTCATTAAATTACGCTCTTCACTTTCCGGGTGCTCTGGAAATGACCCACCCCCTGCTTCCAGCAAACCCATCAGAGTTCCAGTGTTGCAGTCCTTCCCTGGGCAGCAAGGGAGAGGAACAGCCAAGAGCAACCAGGCAGGGGAGAGGAGGGCAAGGGGTGGGGGGGATCTACCATGCAAAGTAGAGCATCTTAGAGATTACTTGGATGCAGAGCTCCTCTGTCTCCAAGGGGAAGGAACAGAAGCTGCAGCACAAGGCGGGATCACCGACACAAGCAGGGAGCAGCGGTAGCATCGGGACCTCTAGGGAGGCTGCATTAAATATGCTAATTGCTGCTCTGAGAAGCCTGAAGGGCTGATCTGCATAGGACACAAAGCTAATTCGACTAACGCTGGAAGCAGGTGCAAAATGGCCTCTCCAGCCTGCCCCGTTACTCTGTGCCTTCCCCTCTGGAACGCTGCCTCTCCATGGCAGCGGCTTCAGGCCCCACAGAGAGGTCCCTCCCGGGCAGGAGTCAGGGGTACGATGGCTTTGCATGGTGGCGGAAGAACATGGCCCTTGTGGCAAAGGATGAAACACAATGATCACCATTACTTACAGGTCAAATATCAGGTAGTGGTGGCCCTCCTCGGAGATGCTGTCATGCAGCCTCACTGCAATGGAGACAAAAGGGCGACAGTTACCAACCACAACGTCCTTCGTACTCACAGACCCAATCCGCGGCCTCTCTCGTTCGTGTGCCCGCCTGTTTCCCTTTAGCAGCAAGAGTTCCCCAGGGGATGGCAGAGGAACAGCAGGGGAGCCCCGTAACCCAGAGAGTTTTCCTCCGACAGCCTTCCCAGTGCCTCGTGTTGCTCACTATTGCAACAGCTAAGCGGTGCTCTCACGGCCTTACCAGTGTCCCTCCCACAACAGTGATTCTCCCAGCCCTGGGAGGTGCAAGGTTCAAGGTCATTTCCAAAACGAGGAGCTGTCTGTGGTTTGCACATAGCGCTCATGCTTGGCTAAGGCCCTGGGCAGCTGCTTGGTTATCTTGGGCATCGAGCAGTATTTCAGCCGCACACGCACTCACACGCTTCTCTAATCCCCAGGATTAGGGTGGTTTAATCAAGAGGGATGCTGGGCTGCAAAGGAAGCCCTGCCACGGCAGCATTCTTGCAGGCAGAATTTCTCTGCTGCTGGAAATACAATGTTTTTCCTCTGTGATTTCCCTTTCTCCTGGGGGATCCAGGTGGATCACATGGTGGGGTTGTCTGAGAGCAGCCATGGGAACCCTTTCTTATTAAACATCCCCCCTCTCTTCACCAGTACTGTTGTTTGACCAAAGACCTAGAATGGAAAGAGCAGCATCTTGTTGTAATGTCCAAAGAACAGCCTCTCCCGTCTGCTTCCAGGAGCTTGGGCTCTGGGCTAATGGCAGTTCCCGAGGAATCCATTCCAAGTGCTACACACGACTCAGGGTGTGTCGGGACACAATGCTTTTGTAGCAGTGCTTAATTTGTGCCAGGGCTTGTCAGGGCTGAGCCCTGGCACCTCTGGGCTTGCTGTATCAGTTATGAATGTAAAAAAAATTGCTTGAGCCCCGGCAGCCCTTGCATTACAAATTAAGCTCTGTTTTGTATTATTGTTCTGAGCAGAACTCTAGTCAGACTGAATGAAGTCAAGAAACGTCTCACCTCTTCCCTTAATTCAGAGTCTTGAGGCTAAATTCTGCTCTCAGTTACAAAGTTTGGCATTCCAATACTACAGTGATGGAGATGGCACAGAAATAAGGCGATTAGATAGATAGATAGAATTAGAAGCAACCTCAATATAGTTGCACCAGTGAAAATATGAGCAGAATTTGGCCCTCGTTGTTTTAATTCATGGTCCCCTATGTCCCAGGACCCCACATCTTCTTCTAGTGACATTTAGATTGTACATACAATACATTTAACCCTTTCTGCCTGTGTGTCTGTCGCCTGGTCTCAGTATGATCAAGTAAGTCTCAATACTTTTGAAAACGATCTTTAGAAACTAGGGGTAAAAGGAAAAATTTTATACAAAAATGTGGGGTCTTTTAAATCCCATTTCTTGTTAAAATTGAGTAGAGTTTTAGCTACTCACACTTGGATCACAGCTAATTTGGCCTCGGCCCATATGGAAATTTTCTTCATACTTTATATTTACTGTCCTCGGGCTAATGGGATAGTGGGAGATAATATGCCCTAAGGCTATATCCAGCTCTGATTTTGAATGCAGATTCTTTGCATTCCTCGTGTTATTTTCCAGATTCAGTCAAAGGCTCAGTCGTTAATATCACCCCAACACACCAGCGTTAAGAAGAGCGCAGCAGGCAGATCCAACAGCTGATGGTGATTGCAGCTTGTGAACCAGGTCCCCGCTGGGAATGGGGAGCGTGCATTGGAGGGTGTCAAATTTGGAGCGAAAGGGGGATTTAAACACCATTTTGTAATGGAAACAATCTAAAGAAAGGCTAGGAAGGAATTGCTAGAGTTAAGAAAGCACATGCTCCCATGACCAGTGCTCAGCCAACTCTGCTCCCCCAATGACCTTGTGCCCAAGTGCAGATGTACACAGTCATCAAACCCACCAAGATCGTGCTCCCCAATGGACACCCTCCCATTTGGGCAGTCAGGTGACATCACCAATGAACAGTCACATCACGTACACTATTTTCACTAGTACTCACACCATCCTGTGCCCCAGGGCATGTGGAGAGCCACTTCCAAGACCTCCAATGGAGAACAATCAGGGGGTTCTTGGAACAGCGATTGGGTTCACTTTGGCTGCAGTCATGTATCTATTAGTCCAGCTCATCAGATACTCATTGCACAGAGGTGCAATTCAGAAGCAACTTGTTCTCTTTGTAGTTTTTTGACTGTGCTCTCTCCGGAAGAAGGCTGTCGCCTGCTTTGACATCCTTTCGCCTTCAGTCTCCTCTCAAAGGCACGACTGGAGTCGCCACTATCATCACTGCCCAGGAAGACAATGACCCATCAACGCTGATGTCTCGCTGCGAGGCAGTCCTCCGGGAGGTTTATTGTTGCGTTTTCATTAATAATGATGAAGAGAAAGGAAAAGGGTTGTCATGCCTGAGTGGGTCTTGGCTCTCGGTCCCTTTTGTGGAGCTGATTTGAGCCGCGGCTGTTATTCTAATTTATTGGTATTTTCCCCCCTTTCACATTGCTGGTTTATGTATTCATCCTCCGATGCTCAGAGACCTGCATTCATCCAGTTATTCTCACGCTCAGTTACGACTTTTCTGTCTTCCTGTGATGGCTGTGTGGGTCCAGAGAGACACATCAAGTACATAAAAGGTTGTTACAAAGAGGAGGGAGAAAAAATGTTCTCCTTAACTTCTGAGGATAGAACAAGAAGCAATGGGCTTAAATTGCAGCAAGGGCGGTTTAGATTGGACATTAGGAAAAATTTCCTAACTGTCAGGGTGGTTAAGCACTGGAATAAATTGCCTAGGGAGGTTGTGGAATCTCCATCATTGGAGATTTTTAAGAGCAGGTTTAAGACAAACACCTGTCAGGGCTAGATCATAACTAGTCCTGCCATGAGTGCAGGGGACTGGACTAGATGACCTCTCGAGGTCCCTGCCAGTCCTATGATTCTAGGATCCCCTCCTGTTCCACGAAGAAGGTGTCTGATTCCTGTGAGCATCCTCGACACATGTCTTGGGGAAACTGTCAGTGACAGGAGCCATGCCAAGGAATCTGTACAGCCGGAGGGCTGGAGTGGAAGGCAACAGAGGCCTGGAGTTTCAAAACCGAGCCTCAGAACTGAATGAATTCAAAACCTCAAAGCTAAATTCAACTGACACTGCCCTGGTTTGCTCAGCGTGGGGTCACTGGCAAGTGAAACCCCCAGGTTCCTCCAGGATTCCATCCCAAACCAGGAATTCACCCAGCGTCACTCAAACCTAGGCCCAGGCCCTCCAAACTGCTCCAGATCTGTGGGTTTGGTTACGGACGTACTGCACAAAGCTTTGCCCTCAGGGATGTTCGGCAGCCATGCTGGGGGTCATGAAGGCTTAAAGCCTCCCATACCCACCTACATACCACTGCCTCCTTCGAGCCTCCGTCCTAGGCTCGGCCACCCCTAGCCACGTTGCGTGCAATGGTTCAAATTGGTATCGCTTGCCACCTGGGAATGCTTTATGTGCCTGGATACTGCACACCACCAGTAACTGCAGAGTGCGCCGTGTCCATGGGGGATGATGTCAGTGAGAAGTTGCCACAGGGAATGAATGAGAACCCCGCTAAGGGGCCCACAGCTCATCAAGAAGGAAGGATTTTCCGTCTCTCTCTCTTCCTGGAGGTTCCAAAAGAATTGCACGTTATGGGTATGGCCCCTGAGGCCTAACAACTGTTAGAATTATTCAGGGGTGTGGGAGGATCTGACCTGTTATTTAAGAAGGAGCTCCAATGTCTACCAGAATTAGAGCTGGGTCAGATAAAACCCTCAAATCTGGACTCCCCTGAGCGGTCGGGAAGCTGAGATCTGGGTCCACGTCGTACAGCTGGCTCCCATCTTTAGAATGGGCCAAAGCAACATGCTAAACAGCTTCAAACGTTGGACCTTCGGATCCATCTCTAATTAAAATGGGAGGGGACGGTCCAACCCAGTGAAAACGCCCCAGTCCCTCCTGCGGTGCATCCCTCGTGGAGAGGTAGTAGTGTCCCGTAGTCCATGGCTCTGGCTTCTGCCGGGAATCTTGGCTCCACTGCAGACTGGCTTTCCTTGCATTCCTGATGGCATTGATTCTTCTTTCTCCTCTTTCATTCCAGTCTGCAGCATTCTAGTTCATTCCAGATCATCAGTGGGTAATTAGCCTGTTTGTGCTGCAGTCAGGGGAAGCTGTGCTCCCAAGTTTCCAGGCAGCAGTGAACAGTGGGGGTGCAAGGGGCGGGGAGAGAAGTGCCTTGTGGGTATAAATAGCAACCAGATTGGTTTCATTTGCATCTTGCTCCGTTAACCCTTTCCAGCCCAGCACCGAGGCCAGCGGTGCGCGTCAGGAGTGCACGCCAAGGATGGGTGGCGAATAAAAAGGAGGCAAGACTGGTGAAGACCAATCTGCAGCATACACGGCCCTCAAAATGCAGGGGGCCTGGAAGACCTGTGAAGCCAATGCTAAAGCTCCCATTCACTTCAGCGGGAGCGAGGCCCGGCCCAGAGAGCGTATGGCACAGCAGCTCTAAGCCGCTCTAGCTTATGCCGCTGAGAAGCTGATTCAACTGATTGGCCCATCCTGTTACTGATTGTCTGTGCTGTGGGGTGCTGGCAAGAGGGGGAGGAGAGGGCTGCATCAGACCAGCCCCCCTTGCACCCTTCCCCGCTTCGCTCGCTTGCAATCCTTGCCACTTTGCGGCAGTCACCTGCTGCCGTGATGGACACTCGTGTTTCCCATCGGAGGAAGCTTCCCAGAGTTCCTTTGCTGTCCACCAGGGGGTGCTAGGGTGCACCATGTGCTCTGACTTGGACTGTTTCTGCTGTGGCTGGGCTGATCCCTGCACGTGGAGCCTGTTACAGGAAGGTTTCCGTGCCCTGACATCAGCAAACGACATGCCTGTGGGTGCTCCCCATCCCTCGCTGAGCAGCGGGCAGCCTGCAGGTGTGGGGGTGGGCTGCCTGGTTTCAGGGCAGCTTTTGACAGACCTTTCCCCCTTGCTAACGGGGAGTGGATCTGAACTAGAGAAGTGGAGGCGGAGGAGAAGATGAAGATAACGGCTGGCCAGAGATGAGGACTCACGGGCCTGCCATAACTAATGCTCCCTGCCGGGCAGTGGCTTATGGAGATAAGGGAATCTGCATCTGTTAGGAGAAATGCTCTGTT